TGAGATCAACTTTACACGAACAAGGGCGTTCCATGGACAGAAACAAGTGGTAATCACTTGGCGCTATGTCCGAACTATATGGTGGATGGGGTATAACCTCCCATCCAAGCTCCCGTAGCTTCTGACGAGTCATCAACGAAGTGTGCGGTCTGCCGTTGTCCTGGTGGATAACTACACCCTTCCTGTGTATTCAATTCTGGATGCTTCTGGTCGATCGCCTGCTTCAAGCGGTCCAGTTGTTCGCAGCAGATGGTAGAATTTAGAGTCTGGCCATATGGGAGCAGCTCATAGTGGATGATTCCCTTCCAATCCCACCAATCACACAGCAAAGCCTTCCTAGTCGTCAATTCTGGCTTGGTCACTGTTTGGGACAATTCACCGGCCTTCGGCTACGTCCGTATATGCTATAGTGATTCGATTTCGGCGGTTGAGTAGAAATAGACGTACGCAAAATTTCATATCGATATCTTAGAAACTGAGAGACTAGTTCGAGTATATACAGGCAGAGGGACATGGCTAATTTGACTCAGCTCGTCATGTTGATCATTCTTATACAAGGTGCTTTCCAAAGTAAACAGGACCTTCTGAATCTAGCGCCCCTTGGTGGCACCATCTACAGGGTGGCTGATGAAAGCCGCTACCAAAAAAAAATTAAATAACTTTTTTTCTATTTAATGAATCTGGTTAATTATTTTTTTTTTATTTTGCAGATTGACTTTTACATTTAACAAAAATGGATAACTGGGACACTGAAACAAGAATTTGGATTGTCCGCCGCTATCACGCACTGGAGTCCGCAGTTTCGGTTCAAAAAGAGTATAGGCGCAAGTTTGRCGGCAATCCTCCTAGCAGATGGACTATAATGAGACTTGTAAACAATTTTACCGAGCATGGGACCTGTCTCTTATACACATCTAGATGTGTATAAGAGACAGGTCAACAGAAGACCGTACCATCGAGCCCCTTCAGTACGAACGGAGGAAGCAATCGCTGCTGCCATACAAAACAATCCACGTGTTTCGACAAGAAGCTTATCTGCTCAAATGGGTGTAAGCAGACAGTCATTACAGTCAATTATGCACAAAGATTTGGACTTATTCCCATATAAAATTCAAATGGCCAACAAACTGAACGCTGCAGACTTGCCGATTCGCTTGGAATTTTGCCAGAAGATGCTTCAAATGGTGGAAGAGGTTGGAAACATCTTGAACTGTCTTTTCATGTCTAACGAAAATGTCTAACAAAATTGTCGAATATGGAGTGCTTCCAACCCACAGATACTCCATGAGACGGAATTGCATCCACTTCGTGTCACAGTGTGGTGTGCAGTTTCATCACGCTGCATTGTCGGGCCCTACTTCTTCGAAGAAAACGGTCACACCGTTACGGCTACTGGAGACCGTTACTTGAGCATGTTGAGAGAGTTTTTCTATCCAGAATTAAACATTTAAATTCCATTATTTTTAAAACTAATTAAGCTATATTTAATAAAATTGAATGAGCTTTAACATGAATAAAATAAAAATGAATTCCATACACTGAAAAAAAAAATTATTTGAGTTCTTAATGTAGCAAAATTCATCAGCCACCCTGTATGTACATATATGCCGACTGGTGCGTTAGAATCTGCTTTCTTTATCGATTGTCCAGTGAGAATTTCACGACCTTTCATTGATTGGGAGTGAGGTTATTGCGTTTAAATGTCAGTATGTTTGTGTTATCGGTGCGAAAATGAGCTTGGAACAAATAGCCAACATTAAATGTTGCTTTAAAATTGGTAAAACTTTTACCGAAATGTTTCAATTGATGAAACAAGTTTATGGCGATGATTGCCTATCCCGTAGCGAATGGTTTCAACGTTTTCAAAGTGGTCGTGAAGACATAAATGACCATCAACATGTGGGCCAATCAAAATCTGTGGTCACCGGAAATTCCAACGAAACTGTGCGTGAATTCATCAAAAATCAGCCGAAATCATCATTAAAATTCATGGAAATGGAATTGAACATTTCAAAAACATAGATTTATAGCATTTTGACCGAACATTTGGGCTTACGAAAGGTGCGTGCACGGTTTGTTCCGCACAAATTGGCTGAGGACCAAAAATTGCTCTAATCGATCGACGCTTGTGACCGATTATTTAACCAAAAATCACATTTTTACCATTGACCAGTCCCCGTATTCACCTAATATGGCACCGTGCGACTTCTTTCTTTTCGGAAAAATGCATTTGCCCATGAAAGGAAAGCGGCTTGGGCCGGCATACTGGCGGCCATACCGGCCAACGAGCTGAAACACTCGTTCGACATGCTTTTGGACCGTGCAAAAGCTGTATTGAAGCAGATGGAAACTATTTTGAATGAAATAAATTGATTTTGCCGAGAAAAACATTTGTTGTGTTTTTTTTAAGTCCCGTTTACTTTCGAATGCCCCTTTGTATGTATATGTATATTTTACAGGATCTCCGACGTACAAACTTCGTATTCAGCTTATATACACTGCTCCGTGTATTTTTTGTTGAAAACTATGAACGAGTCATTCTGTTTCCAAAAGTCTCATTTTATATTCCATAATACATTTGGGTTCAGATTCAGCGATTTAATTGTATGAGCAAGTAAGAGTAATCAGCCTTAGCCATTTACATTCCTCTCGTGTGGGTCAAATATTAAATATTCGCATTTGCATGTGTACATACATATATAGGCATCGCATTGCATAGACGTCCTCGGGTACACGCAATAATGAAGCCGCCTTTGTATGTATAGATGTGTGTTTGTGTTTAACATTTGAAGCGTACAACAACATGCATTCATTATTAGAGTCAGCCAACAGAACAGAGTTAGTCAGTAAAGCGTCCACTTTAAGCGGAACTGAAAAAAACGCGAAAAAGCAAAACGAAATATGGAAAGTGGCCTGCTATACGCTTGGTGCTCCACTGAACGGCATAATGTTCAGTAGTTGTACACTTGCAGATATGACTAACTTACATTGGGTATATAATAGCCATGTATGTATATACAAGTATGTAGGTAAGTAGGCACATGTTAGCATAATGGGTGAAAAGTCGACGAACTTCACACAAAAAAAAAAAAAAAAAACATTGAATTAAACTTTAATTAAACTTCGACATACTGCACATGCTCGCAACACAAAGCGCTGAATTGTGAGTGCAAGCACACACTTCATATTCATATTTGACCAACAAACGAGTGGAGGTGAGCATAGACACATGAAATACCTACAACACAGTAGTAGGTTCTTTACATGCAGATTTTTTTGGAATAATTATGTAATAGCAGAAGTGGTTGGCGATTTTCATAGATGAGTAATCTAAGTTAAATAGTTTTCTAACTAATTAAATTATTCAATTTCCGTTTAAGTGTATTTAAATATTTATGTATTTAACTATAAGATATGAATCTATTTCGTCATTATTTGTTTCACAATTAAAGTGCATACGATTCGTTACCAACAAGTCAGCGGCATGGCCGACAAAAACATAAATTTTTACGAATATTTACTATCGCCTTCAAAACAGACTACTGAGCCTATGCAACCGGTTTTCCACTTTTTAAAAGCCACGGCTGGATTGGCATCAGTGCCTTCAACTAATTTGGATTTTTTTGATTAGTGTTTGGGGCGCCATTCGTTGGGTTGTTAGAAAGTTTTGCAGTCATATTCATAAACGCACGTGTGGTCACCAGAGTGATGCATTTGATGATTGCACATAGAGTCCTCAGCTCTACATTGTCAATCATTTATTTGGCGAACTGTACTCGACGTCGCTTGAGGTCTTTTGGTTGGAGTCCAGCTTTCTAACTCAAACGTTAACCAAAATGTGTGACATCGATCGATCAAGCATGTTGAGTTCCTCTGCTATCTCTCGGATTATTTTAAAGCATCGTTTCTGTATGTTATCATTATTAACAGAGATGGATGGACGACTCGCATGAGACAAATTCTACTAAACGTCGTTTTCGTAAAAGATTGGGATACTTTAACGTGTGTCTGGCACTGACAGGCTTCATATCCAAAATATTAACCAAAATGTGTTAAGACGATATATAAGGTTGCAGTTCACGAAACCCTCTTACGTTCTACTCTGCACTTTCGAGTTATTACATCAACATAATTATAAACAATTTGCTACCAGTTGAAAATAAATATGAGTATTTTACAAGGTGCTGATGAAGCAATGGGTATATGTGTATTTGTTAACAGAAAAATATTGCCACACGCGCTCAAACGAATTAATAAAAGGTTACAAACAGCGGGTATGAACTCAATAAGAACTTTGGGTCGACAACGATTACAAAGCAAAATAATCAAAAGCAAACCATATAGCTTTGGTATACCTTAGGTCGTGAGTTCTGGGTGATCCATAGAGCAACATGCAAGTAGATAAACGCACAATTTGAGACAGTAACACCGGCACATTTCCGACCACTAAACCCGGGACGTACATGCCAATGAGGCATCATATGTAAATGCTGCACATAACAGCTACACGTACATGCAAACATAACCATCGAATAATGACGAAAAGGAAAGTGTAAGAAGGCATGAAAAAAACAAGTGAAAATGCTAATTCCAATTTGTGCTTGGCGCGAGTTTAAGCTGACGCGCCGCTTCGACAGGGCTTGCTCCACGTTAAAAGGTGGCGTTCAAGTGCCTACCGAGTGAACTTCAACTTACTTCATTGGCAAATCACAATTGCTTTCAGGGAGCCACAGCGCTATAACTTTAGTACTTGCGTTTCCAATAATGAAGCACAAACACTTGCAACTGCACACACTCCTGAGTCGAGCATAATAATTACTTATTGTCATTTACATAAATGCACATTTCTCCACGCATTTGCACCCGGCACTGCAAAGTCATTTGACCTAATTTTTATACATCAATTAACAGTTTATGAGCGGGCACCACAAGCTTCATGCGCACATATATATGTAAGTATAAAATCAAAAACTTATTTCTTCTTTATATCGCTTACTTACTTTTCTTATGATGTACTTGAGAGGAACTGTTGGGAAAATGTGCTTAATTGCCGATGCCAAATCGGTGAGTATAACGTCAGCGTTCTGTAATTAAAAATGCAAATTGAAAAGTCAATCTTCAATTGAGTATACTCTAGCTGTACTCGGCTATTAGCTGTACTTACCGCACTGAAGCTCCCCGCATCGAAGCTCGTTGCAAATGAGTACGGACGATCATTTGTGATGATTGAGAAGTGTGTTGACTTTTTGCTTTCCACTGCCTGTATGTCCAAGTAGTGAAAGTGACATTCGATCTGAAGTAAACGGTAAGCAAAGTTAAATGCTCGTAAATTCATTAAAAAGGTGTTGGAAATACAAATTGGGAAGTTTACAGAAAATAAACTATTATATTTGACAGTTGCTTACCTTTGTGGGCACCTTTGCGATTAGCAAATAAATACGAACTGGCGTGAAAACCTGCAACAAAGGGAAAAGAGAGAGACGTTGTTAATTGCTTCGATATATGGTATTTGTAAAGTTGTCTATATCAGCAAAAGCTTAAAATCTTAAAATGAGTTATGGAATTTGGATTAAGACGTACTAAACTAGTGAAACCCATATATCTAAGATCATTCGAACTTGATTTTGTAGAAAAAATTTTGTTTTCTTTAAGTTACCGACTGAGCACGATGACCTTAAAAATAATGCTGCAAATTGATCATTGATCATGTCAGATTAGGGATGCTCGGTGAACAGCGATGTTCGATGATCATCGATATTGAAAGCAACAACATCCATGTTACCATACCAAAAATATCGCAACATCGGTGTTAACGGAATCGATCATCGATGTTAACTTACGTCCTCACCTCACCTCATTTGTGGAGCGAACATTATAAACTTGTAAATGACAAAAACTCCACGCCTTTGTCTAGTGATCACTAAAAGCCTTCAGAGTTGAGTTACTTTTTGAAAAATCCAATGTCTGATCTTAAACAAGATCCTCTCTAAGTTTGGAATAATGTCATCGATTCCACTTACCCGAATTAAAAAAAAATAGCGATAAAATATTTGAGTACTATCGCGATATCAACGCCATCCGAAATACTGTTTTCAAAAGCTGGTTCTACTCTTTATCAACAAAGAAACCGATTAAAAGGTTCTTCTTTATCAAAATTACTCTTCCTTCAGCAAATTAATAAAAAATATTGGGATATGTAATAATTCGATCTGTTGCTTAATAAATTTCGAAGTTATATATTGTGTTTTATTTCTTTGTCAATTATTAATGTAAAAATTATCGATGGATCCAACATCGATGTTCGGTTTTCGATAGATATCGAACAACGATGTTGAGCTTTCGATTATGACATCGATCATCCCTAATTCGGAGGTAAGTTCATTCAAAATTTTAGCAGTGCATTCTTGAATTTTTTTAACGAAGATAATTTCTGAAATAAGAAAATTTTAATCGTAGTTAATTTTACTGATAAAAGTGGTAGAAACCAAGTTTAATTTTTCCGTATTTGTTTGGAAAAAAATAACCATTCTAAAATCCTAAACATTATTATCTACATACAAAATTCAATTTATTTAATTTTCGGAAAAAATTATGACTGTACAGGTGATTTATGGTACGTCTACGTCTTTGCAGTCCTCAAATATTGATTCTAGAGCAAACGCATTTTTGTTTTTTCAAAAATGCTGACTGAAAAGTAAAAAAAAATGTATTTTTCAAAACATGCACTGTATTATCAATAATAAGAAATATGGTTTACGCCTTATAAATTTATTTATATGGCACCTTCTAGGTATAAACATACAAGTGAAGCTAAAAAAAAGCGTATTAAAAAAGCAAAGAAAGTCTTTAACTTAAGCTATAATACCCTTCATTACAATTGTAACTTTTAATTTACACTTTTAATTTACAATTGTAATGAAGGGTATTATAGCTTCGTTAAAATTGAAGTTAAAGTTTTCCATACAAGGGTGTCATTGTAATCTTTCTATAGTAATCCGGTCTGAACAATTTGTTTGGAGAGTATACCGTTGCCTTGAGTAATAATCCATCCTAAATTCAAATAAAAAAGATTTCCATACAAGAACTTTTGTTTAACCGATAAGTTTGTATGTTATAGCGGCTACATACATATAACCTAAAGTGGTCCAATATCGACTCCGACAAATGAGCAGCTTTAAGGAGAAAATGATATGTTAAACACTGAGGGACTGCTTTGCGTATACATAGGTAGCCTTTTATATATCGGAATTAGAGAACAAAAACAAATATCAGTCATGGAAAATTGTTTTATTGTTTTTCAAAATATTCCATTAAAATGTGTACACTTTTGCATGCGTTTGAAAATATTCTTAAAGCACTTTAGCCACTCTTACGGAGGTATCTCCAAGGAGGATTACTCATCAAATGTTTTAAGGGCTCAAAACAAGAGTTGTTTCTGTCGATGTGTGAGAGCAAGCATTGTCGTGGCGAAGCGTGATCCATCTTTAGTGGTTAATTTTCCTGATTTCTTGAAAAACAACTGGCAAACAAATGGTTATGAATTTACTGTTCACCCGTCAGAACTTACTGTTCTGGTGATAAGGGTGCGACATTCAGCTTGCTTTTGTTCCATAGTCCATATTTGAACATCTGTCACGTTGTCATCGACATTTTTCGAAACACAGTAATCGTATTTTTTTAAACATTTCTCTCGACCAATCGACACGAGCCTATTTTGAGCTATCCAGAAATAGTGTGGGATCCCGTTTTTATCTACAATCAAATGTTCATGCAATATTGAATGTGTGCTAGTCCAACTAATTGTCCCTATCCCACGACAGCTCTCGTAACGATCTTGAAGTATCAGTTTGCGTACATCAATATTTTCGAGAACAAGAACTGATTTTAGATAACGATCACGAAATTCTTCATGGAGTGATCTACGGATTCACCATGCTACACGAATCACGAAAAAATTTCGCGATTTAATTCCATTTGTGGACTGAGGTGAATCTTTGAAGTAACTGTGAGTATGTATAACATCAAAAATGTCAAACTTTACGACAAAGTTGTGATTACAACACTGAGGTTGCCAACTTCAGACATATAAAAAGCGACCTACGTATACAAATGGACTGACAGACAGCCAAACGGGCATAATTAAAACGAGCTTGATCGTTTATACTTTATGGGTCAGTGCATATTAACATTCTGGAGCCTTGTAACTCCGTAATAAAATCGATTGAAGATTAAACTTATCCGATATGTTCACTTCTGAATATTCAATATAATATAAATTTTAATTTTTTTTATTGAATTTCCATGTTTTATATTTTTGTAAAATAACTATTGAAGTAACTTTGTCAGTAACGGAGGTTGTATGTACTCTAACTTTTATTGATGTCGCTCAAATAAATACTTTTAAATTTTTATTAATTTGTTATGTGGACCGATCATTATGTTTCTGGATATCAAAATAAGGATTTTAAGGAATATAATAACCAATACAATTTATTAAGCATAAAGGAAATCAATCTTTTGTGGAAAAGAAGCATGATGTTATATAATATTTCTGAAAACCGATATCCGAAGGTATACCAATACAACAAAGTACCCGTATCCTTTCTATAGAACCGATAATAAAGCTTTCGAAGGTTAAAAATATAGCACCAAACTTAAAAACTCATGTGTAATCATGATCTACATATGGTATATACAGGTGAACATAATATTATACAATAATTTTTTATAAACTCCTTGAAATTTAGTACATAAAGCTTGCATTTGCGCGGCACGACACTAAATCCGTTTTATAGCACGCAACAACTATTTTATCCTCTCTGGCAGAAATCCAATACCTATAAACATTTTCTGCTTAATGGCGTAATTTTCTGCTACTACTATTGAAATTTTATTAAATGCTTGTACATTCGACCGTACGCATGCGGCCACTCAGACTAACCCTTTTTAGTTCACATGTCTCTACTCCTGGCGTTGAAGCGATGTATATGCGACAGCAAGAGATTAAAGTATTTAACGCTTGATTTGCTAACAACTTGCTATTTTTTAATGTCCTGAATAAGGTATCAGTTACCTTTGGTCGAGACATAAGTCTTACATAGCTACACTTTGTAGTTTAAGTGGACGCACCCTGAACTGTGCTAAGTTTTTCAATGTTTCCTCCGCAGCCTATAATCAAATAAGTATGTATATTCGAGGGTATGTGGTTCTGTTAGCTTGTTATTAACTGTTAATCATTTTGCAAATGTTTGCGTAGAACAAAACGTCTGTCACAGTAACACTCTCAGGTTTTTCATACTTCGCTTTATTTTCTATTACTTCTTGTTTCATCGTAATGGGATTAATTCGAATTTAAACTTATTACGTAGGAATAAAACAAAGAAGTCTACAAGAATGTTACACCATTTTTCTGGGCGTTTTTTCTATTAAAAGCCTAATTAATTACTTTGCAGCATGTTGCATATAATATATTATGTCTTTGTTCATCTAACCGTAGATAGATAGGCAGTTATATGTGTGTGTATTGTAATGCAGGACTTAATTAAACTGGATTTGATTCAACCTCTTGTACCGTCGTCCATACAGATATGATAAAATTTAACTACATTGGCTCCAAGCCAAAGTCGGACACTACCGAAGCGTTCTACCTCAAAAATGTTCAAGCTAAATTAAATAGAGAATAAACTACAACGACTTTTTCCGTCTTCGAAAACGGATCCTACGGTGCGGCAATTTTAGTTACACGGAGCCGAATCTGGTGAATACGGCGGTTGATCGATGGTATTCATTGCGTCATTGGCTTCAAATTCGGTCACGAAAATAGGCTCAAGAATGGCTGACCAGGAAAGTTCCATTAGTCACAGAAATATTTTGCTTGAAGTGGTTGCAATTACTCCCCAGGGGTGCATTTAATTAAAAAATAACTTCTATTGTCCAAGTTTAGCTTGCTTGTAATTGGGGTATTGTTTTATTTTAAGCAAGATTTTTTTTTAATATAAAATTTCAAATGGTTCATTAATTGGCAATAGAAGATCAACAAAAACAAAGCCGTCTCAAGTTTTATTTTAAATGCTTTGATTAAAATATTTACTTACGAAGACAACTTTCTACAATGATGTCCAAGTTTGGCTTGGAACCACTGTCTCGCTTAGTTTTAGGTGTCACAAACATCATTTAGGTGAACGAGAACGAGAGTGTACAATGAAATTTGAAACCCTTATATTGATATGAAAAATAAATCTCGTACAATGAGTATCCTCCAATTGATATGAAATGCAAAAGTTGCTAAAAAACCAAGTTTCTAATAAATACATTCTGTGTAAAAACATCCGAATTTGATATAAAACAGCAAAGTTAAAAATTAATATGTCATTGTTGTTGTTGTAGCGGCAGAAAACATTCCTGAAGTAATTTCGAGTAATGGTGCTGGAGTTGATAGTCCTTGACCGGATAAAAA